TTACCCATTCCAACACCTTACCGCATTTGGCATATCCAAGTAGTAATCCATCTCGGTACTGACCAGGTTCGACATTGCTTAACGTCAATGATCAACGTGATGTGGCCTTAAGCCTAGGGATATATTCAGGATCAGAGGGAAATAGTAAGTAAATTACCTAACAAACTTGTGTAGATCAGTGGCAGACAGGGACTGGGAATGTCAGTAAAGAAAGAAATGTTTCTAAGAGCTACAATGGACTGGAAGTTGTGGAGAGTCATGATCACCTACATAACAAGTTTGTGTAAATGGATGGCAAACAGGGACAGGGAAGGATAGTAAAGAAATAAATGTTTCTTATAGCTACAATGGAAAAGAGGTTGTGGAGAGTCATGATCACCTACCAAACGAGCTTGGGTAAATAGAACTGAGAGCGGAAAGGATAGTAAAGAAACAAATGCTAAAAACCACAATTACTAGGAAGTTGTGGAGAGTCATGTTTACCTACCTTATAACTTTGTGTAAATGGATGGCAAACAGGGACTGGGCAGTATAGTAAGGAGACAAATGTTCCTAAGAGCTAACATGGATAAGAAGATGTGGAGAGTCATGATCACCTACATAACCAGCTTAAATGGATAGTAAACAGGAACTAGAAAGGATACTAAAGAAACAAACATTGCTAAGAGCTTCAATGAATAGGAAGTGGTGGAGAGTCATGATCACTTACCAAACAAGCGTAAATAAATGGCAAACAGGGGCTGGAAGGATATTAAAGAAACAAATGTTGCTAAGAGCTACAATTGATAGGAAGTTGGGGAGAGTCATGATCACCTACCTTATAGGCTTGTGTAAATGGATAGCAAACAAGAAGTATAATAAAGAAACAAATGTAGGTAAGAGTTGCAATAGATAGGAAGCTGTGGAGAGTGACGATCACCTACCTAACAAGCTGGCGTAAATGGATGGAAAACATGGATTGGGAAGGATAGTAATGAAAGAAAAGTTGCTTAGAGCTATAATGGATAGGACGTTGTGGAGAGTCATGATCACCTACCTAAAAAACTTGTGTAAATGGAGGGCAAACAGTTACTGGGAAGGATAGTAAAGAAATAAATTTTGCTTAAAGCTACAATGGATAGGAAGTTGTGGAGAACCATGATTACCTACCAAACAAGCGTGTGCAAATAGATGACAAACAGGAACTGGGAATGACAGTATGGAAACAAATGCTGTTAAGAGCTACAATGGATAGGAAGTTGTGGAGAGCCATGATTACCTACCTAACAAGATTGTGTATATAGTTAGCTAACAGGGACGTGGAAGCTAGTGTAAATGGATTACAGAGACTGGGAAGGATAGTAAGGAAACAAATGTTGCTAAGATCTGCAATGGATAGGAAGTTGTGGAGAGCCATGATCCCCTACCTGACAATATTGTTTACAAACAACAAACAGGCTGAGGGATGGATAGTTAAGAAGCAAATGTTCCTAAGACCTACAATGGATAGGTTGTTGTGGAGAGTCATGATCAAATACCGAAGAAGCTTGTGTAAATGGATGGCAAACAGAGACTTTCCAGTCTCTGTCTGGAAAGGTAGTAAGGAAATAAATATTTCTAAGAGCTGCAATGAATAGGAAGTTGTGGAGAGTCATGATCTTGAAGAGGCTCGTCGCATAAAAGAATAATGATATAGGATATTGTATTAGACAGATTGTCATTATGATCTATGTCTTTTGGATTTATTTGTAAATAAAATTATCTTACTTTTAGTGTTGCTTTGTATAATAAAACTCGATACGTCTAAAAATGTTATTATCAATACTTTCATAAAGCAAGCTGTCATAAGCTGAACTTCAAAGTTATATTGTTCAGATAATTATAAATAACGTGAGATTATCAGAAAGTAAAGCCAATTTCAAAATGATTCTGTATAAGCAACAGGGAAGCGCTGATACGCGACACCACGCGTACTCAAATGATGTCGGGAAACTAGGCTCGCGCAGGTCTTTATTGTTCAGTCGAGTGACAGTGAGCATCGAAGTCCGACGTATGGACGCTCCACTCGGCGGTTACTCGGTCGAGGAAAAACGCGCCGAAGTCAGACTTTCGAAAATCCATCGCCAGATGTTGTTGCAGTATGGAGTACGCACCATGAATCAACAAGTGGGTAGAACGTTTCATAGCCGGAAGATCAGGTATAACGGACGAAAGCCAGTCTGGTTGCACATCAAGAACGCGCACAGAAGAACACATCTAGAGGGTGGATGTCTTGATTGGGTACGACCGGCGAATCACGTTAACGCAAGTGGCAACAATCGTTGACGTCAACTATGGATCTGTATGAGTTATAGTTCATGAAGATTTCGGGTACTGTAAAGTGCAAATAAAGACGTATGGAATTTGCCAATTTTTTGACTTTTGACTATTACGTGACGCATATAACCATATATTCATGGCGTTAGTTTAAGCAGACGACTTCATTTTTTCCGTATACTCTGACTATTTTGCTTAAAGTTCGTATTTTCTTGTTTCAGGGCAAAGCTTGAAAATTCCCTGGTATATTTCAGTGAAATGTTTCATTTTTAAATTATAGTTCACTAGAAATATCCGTGAAATCTCTACGGTTCTCCTATTTGAATTTGAAAAAAAAATAAAGTCAGTTTAAAATGACGTCAGGAAGATATGTGTTATATGCATTAGGTAAAATAAATTCATGCGTTTATCTTTTCTTGGCCAGTAGTCTATCTAACTCTGCTCATATCTATCTATCTATCTATCTATCTATCTATCTATCTATCTATCTATGTCAATTCATAATTAGGTAGCTGGTGAGAAAGTGAAAAAGTTGTAGGCGTGAAGGAAAAGGAAAACCTTAATATGTTAGCGTGCAAATTAATCTGTAAACGTAAGAGCGTTTTGTGGAGTCAATACAAGCGAATATACCAGTACACTCGACCTTTTGAAATAAATAATTATGTGTTAATACGGACAAAAACAGACAGGGTCATTCTTTATCGAGGAGCCATTTAGAGCATGTCAGTGTCGGGTGTCGTTTTATATAAAAATTGTCCTATAACTACGTTGTTTTAGAAACACCGTCCATTGATTGGCCGGCGCGATGCATTGAATAAATAATAAATAGTAAATAAATATTGAAAGAGAATTTAATGACGTCTTTTTACACATTCTGAAATATGGTGTAGGGTAAACGGGAGGATTGATTTAATTTTTACGGCTTGTCAAGCATTTGCTGATTATTTAAATCCACAATATATTTATATATTTCAAGAATATTATGGAAATAATAATGATACAAGTCCTACTAATTAACCCATAGCTGGGGGAGAATAGGTGGATTCATACATTTCCCAATGCTGTTTGTAAGTATGTGAATATAATAAAACCCGACTGGAATTTGAACTCGACTCCCCGACTTCCAATTCCGATCCGTTATGCATTACACCATCCGCACATCCAAGCTTACAGTACCTGATTTCCCCAAGCAGTCACCTATTTAGGTACTGACCAGGCTTAACCGTTTTAATTTCGGTAATTTGTAGTATGAAAATCGGTTTTTCAACATGATATGGCCATAAGTACGTAAATAGAAGGAACGGACGTCACAACGGGGGACAATGGTTAACGAGCTAGCTCTGCAGCCCATAGCAACTTACTACGAACCGCACTAGGTGCTCCAATGTTGTTTCTCTGTCGTTATCTTTGTACAGACTAAAAAACACGAGACTAAATCTCTCCCGTCCTGAGTAAGACGATAAACTACATCCGGCAGCAAGGCCTCTAATCAGGAAGTTTTGAGGAGCGTGGAAATCACCTCTTAATTGCTGTTGTTCCAGGTTCACCCTGACCCGGAGTGGTAGCAATTGTTAGGGTCCCAGTTATGGGCAAATAGTTAACCCCCCAAAAGGGGTCAAAACACTATGAAAGCATAAAAATAGGTTTTAATACCAGCAATACATTTTTGGAAAAGATTATTACCAGCAATACATTTTTGTAGGAAAAAAATATTACCAGCAATACATTTTTGAAGGAAAAAAATTACCAGCAATACATTTTTGAAGGAAAAAAACCAGGAATACATTTTTTAAGGAAAAAAATATTACCAGCAATACATTCTTGAAGGAAAAAAATTAAATACATTTTTGAAGGAAAAAAAACAGGAATACATTTTTAAAGGAAAAAAATATTACCAGCAATACATTTTGAAGGAAAAAAAATATTACCAGCAATACATTTTGAAGGAAAAAATATTACCAGCAATACATATTTGAAGGAAAAAATATTACCAACAATACATTTTGTAGGAAAAAATATTACCAGCAATACATTTTGTAGGAAAAAAATATTACTAGCAATCCATTTTGAAGGAAAAAAATATTACCAGCAATACATTTTTGAAGGAAAATATATTACCAGCAATACATTCTTGAAGGAAAAAAATATTACCAGCAATACATTTTCGTAGGAAAAAAATATTATCAGCAATACATTTTTGAAGGAAAAAAATTACCAGCAGTACATTTTTGAAGAAAAAATGTATATTGCCAGCACTACATTTTTGAAAAAAATACTACCAACAATAAATATCTTGTCGCCATTAAATAACCCATTGAGGTTGATATACCGTAATACAAAACAAACCAAACCGGAGCATCCAGACTACAAAACAACACGAGAGTAAATCTCTCATACGTAGAATTATTATTTATTCAACTCCGGACTTTTGTCAATTAAAAGCAGCGAGTTGGTATGCTTCTTTGATGGAGGTGGGGGTCGTAGGTTATTTAAAGCCACAATACATTGTAAGAATATTTTGGAGGTAATGACGGTTTACTGATACAAGTCCTACTAATTAACCCATAGCTGGGGGAGTATAGTTGAATTCATAACTTTTCCAAGGATATCTGCACGTATGTGAATATAATGAAACCGACTGGAATTGGAACTCGACTCTCTGACAATTCCGATTCGTTATCCGTTACACCACCCGCACATCCAAGCTTACAGTACCTGGTATTCTCAAGTGGTCACCCATTTAGGTACTGACCATGCTCGACTTTGCTTAACTTCGTTGTTGGTATGAGAACCGGTTTTTCAACATGATATGGCCATAAGCATGTAAAGAGGAGGAAAGGACGTCACGATGTGGGGCAAAGGTTAACGAGCGAGACCCGCAGACCACAACAACTGAGTGTTGGTGTGAGGCTTTGATGGTGGGAGTGTCCTTAGAAGGTAGAGTCTTCTTCTTGCAAGGATGTGAGAGATTCACTAACTCTTCCCTCTCGGGTGGAGCACTTATATACATGTACCTGTCATCTGGTTATCCTGCATCTGCATATCCTATGTGTTTTCGACCACCTGTTTACATGTTGGGAGTTGCCACTGACATAAAGTGAACGTGCGTATATGCAACTGATATCTAGGTAGATGTATTCCAGGTCAGCTCACTGATGTACCTAGTTTCTGGTGGGACAGTGGATGCGACGTCTGTTTTGGTACATAATAGAGGAACCGCAGATCAACTTCTCTTAGAACAAAGTTTCCTTATTGACATTGAATTCGATTCAACCCCTCTGGTATTTTTCACGTTAATCACAGACTAAAAATCCAAATTTCGAAGAACCATATCTTTTCGCCTACTCTAAAACACTAGCCTAAAAAAGGTTCATCACACAAAAGAATTCGAAATAAAAAAAAAAAAAAGAAAACTAATTTACACTAAGCGGCACGAACTGAGGAATCGGAGAGCCGAGTTTCAATTCCAGTCGAATCCATTACATTCGCTTACGTGCTAATACCCTTGAGAAAAGGTATTAAACCTCTTCTTCTACCCCAGCTATGGGTAAGTAGTACAGGGTTTTGTAGCCTTGGATGGCAACTGGTCTCCCGCAGAAAGAAATGGCAAACTACTGCAGGAAAAAAAATCTGCCTCGTCAGTCATGTATCGAAAGATACATGATCGCCTAAGCTTGTATCACGCATGGCACATAACTGACTGATATTCACTTACGCGCAAATACTCTTTTCTTCTCCCTCCAGCTATGGGTAAATAGCAGAACAGACCAGATTCTATAGACTTGGATGGCAACTGGTCTACCGCAGAAAGAAATGGAAACTGCCTCGTCAGTCATGTATCGAAAGATACATGATCACCTAAGAGTGTATCACGCATGGCACATAACTGACTGACTATATTATAACTCTCTCGTGTTCCTTCTTGTCTACAAAGTCGAATATAGTAGTTTTGATGGGATATATTAAGAGAGCGTCATCAATATATTGGAAGAATATTGCTAAAAATAGTAAAATATTTTGGAACTGACCAAATTCGAGAAACTCTAAGAACATTCATGCCATCACTTTCGTCCAATGAAGTCCTAAAGAAACAAAAACATTTTCCATTGTTTCAATATTCCCCCAAACAATATATATATATATATATATATATATATATATATATATATATATATACTGCAGTTCAAAAGTTTGAAGCCACCCCAGAATTAGCATGAGATAAACTTGACAGAAAAGTGAAAAAAAGGAATAAAGAGCTCATAGAGTTATTGAAAAAAAATTGAAACAGTTATCAAACGTAGACTTTGATGAAAATTTGCAATGAATACGGAAAATTTGTGCTGCAGTAATCAAGGCTAAAAAAGGATATTTTGTCGAGAGTAAAATTTAATCCTAAATTTTTTTTCTCATTATAAAATTTCTAATTAAAAATGTCTTACTTTTTTTTTTTTAACCTTGTATAATAATTTTCTCTTATTTAAAGTACAACACAACTACTTTTTGGGCCTATTTAAAAAATTACCGGTGGTGACCATAAAACTTTTGAACTGTAGCGTATATATATATATATATATATATATATATATATATATATATATATATATATATTGTCAGGACGGCTGACGATTGCTTCTAGCATGAAAAAACAGCCTGTCGCTTCTGAGTGCTGACTTCAATGTTCACTTTTATATTTATATTTACATACGCTCTATCTCTGATATTGAACACTTTATATAAATAAATACCTTAATATACTACCTTATATATATATATATATATATATATATATATATATATATATATATATATATATATATAGTTTATGAAAAACTAGGTAATCCGTATGGGTAAACCTAAAGAGGATAAAATCCAGAGAGCTCAATGTAAATCCAGAGCAAATAATTTAAATAAAAACAGACCACTTTAAGGTTCCATGTAATAAATTATTTCACCACAGCCCTTTTAAAAGGACTGCGGATCATCAGACTTTACTTCCAAACAAAAAATGAAAAGAAAATTTACACATTTTTGACGGGCCGTATTAAACATATGTAAATTAACGAAGTGAGGAAGTGAGTGGGGAGAGAGAAGACATGAGTGAGTTAGCAGACATTGACACATTTAAATAGTTAACTTAACGGAAGTTATATATTGATATCGAAGGGGTAGAGAAGAAAAAACCCATAGAGAGAAAAAGAGAGAAGGAAGTTATGAGAGAAAGTGTCACTAATTTTCTTTGTAAAAAAAAGGCTAGAAACAGACGTTGTCATTTTGTTTTACTTTGAAAGTGTTATTTTGGGGGTTCATAAAGATTATAATGTATGATATAAATTTGAATGTCTCTAAACTGTCTACAAATGATTTAATTTGATGTTTGTTAGTGATTTAAATTTTATTAAAATTTTGGGGATTTCCTATGAAATAGTCGATTAGAAAAATATTCATAGAAAGTACATTAAAAGAAGAAAATTTTATTTTAAAATATAAGTTTACTTCTAGTAATCTTTTTTTTAATGTCTTTAAAAAAATTTATTGATTAAGTTGACATCTCTATCCGTTTGAATTTTGTTCATGAATTTAACTCGTGGCTGTTTCTAGATAGGTAATCTCTTTTACTTAAATTTTAGTTAAGTTAATATGGTGTAATAGTTGAAGGTAATATTAAAGATCTTGCTCTGTCATATACTGTATGCACACCCATGCAAATATCACATATACACACGTTCCTTTACATGTTCAATCACTCATACAGGTACCCATGTGCCGATATACACAGGTAACTTCATGTATTAACACCTACCTAGATATCAAAAATTTTCCAATTTGAATATTTTATCATCAATAATGATTATTAAAGGGTAATATATTTCAAATTAAATTAAATTATCAATTTAAAAAATTTTCCTCTATATTATAAAGAATTTTAAACTCACACTTCCAATTGGAGAATATTAAATGAGAAAATGAGATAAAACACTAATAACAGGACTGTAAGTCCTTCTTTTATAATATTCTATGTATCCATAAATATACACATACACACATATCCGTACACATACACACATACATATACATACATATCCATATATATACATATATTCACATATACACATACACACACACACACATATATATATATATACATGTATATACTCATATATACACACATACACATGTAGATATATACACATACACATGTAGATATACACACACACATACATACATACACATGTACATATACACACACATATACCCACATATATACACACATATATATATATATATACATATATACACACATATACATATACACACATATACACAAATATATACATATACATATATACACCCACATGTGCATGCATGCAAAAACATCTCAAAATCCATGATTACATTATTATATCTATAGTCTCCCATATTATATATATGAACTCACAACTTCTGATATTTATACATATATACATACACTATCTATGGAACGACAACATACATGTACCCATCTATATATACACACCCACACTCACACATACATATATAGAAATTATAAAAAATTGTATACATACACATGCACACATATACATGTACCCACATACCCACACATGCACATATATACACCCATATATACATATAACTACATATATTTAAAAAAACAAACAAACAAAAAACAAATCACCTATATACATGCAAGTATAATGCATACAAGTATATATACATACATATTCATAACCTACCCACCCACTCCAAAAATGTGCCCACAATACACAAAAATAGCACATGCATGACTATCTTTCCATATAAACGCATATACATATACATATCAAAAGACGTATCAATGTTCAAGTTCAATTACATAGTTATATACATACAGTTATGTGTTCGCACTTATGTGTGTATAGCAACATTTGCAAAAACAAAAAGCAAGATCATGTAATATTAGTCTTCCTATATAGTTATTCCTAAATATATTTAGTTAGATTTAGGTTGTTCTTATGTCGGCATTTAAAAATTAGTTCATTATGTTTGTTTAGTAATAAATCCGGATCTTTATGTTTTATTATGAGGATTTTTTCTTTTATGCATAAGTCGCATCTGTCTCTGAAATTTATTGGAGTTCTGGCTCTCGAGATTATCTTCCACTTTATTTGTGGGGTTAAGCCACCACCCAACAAATCCCAATAATGCATTGACAGTGCTGTTTGGTTCTTTTTACATTTATTTTTGAAGGGCTGGCGATGGTTATAAAGTCGATGTTTCCAACTTCCCGCCGATATTCCTACGTATATCCTTTTCTGCTCAAAATTCTCTTTGGGGAAAATTGTTGCCTCATAAATTACATTTTCCGCCATGCATACTCCTTCAACTGGGCAATCTGATCCTGTCCTGCAATTACATGTTGATACTTTCATTTGGGTTGCATTACGATCCATTTGTATTGAATTGTCATGAAAATCTCTCAAAATTTTACTATTATGTGAGCTAATAATTTTTTTCAATATTGTTCATGCAAGAATAGCTAATTTTTAAATTCATTTTGTTGAATATCTTTTTTAAAAGATCATTTTTGCTAAAGTGTTTTTGTATTAGTTTTATGAAGTATTTTCCTATGTTAATATTAGAAAGGTTACAAAAAGGTGGGTTGAACCATATAATTTTCCTCTTCCTATTTTTGGATTTAGTGGATGTTTTATTAAATGACTTATCTATATAATTTAGTGTCTGTTTAAATCTACTTTTAATAGGGCTTTATCCTAATTTGGTTTATTTTGGTTAAAATGGTTTTACTAGAAGAGAGTTTATTTATTCTAGCATTTACTGTATT